TGTTTTTTTTTTTTTTTTTTTTTTTTTTTTTTTTTCTTAATAGCCTATTCTATAATTCTTAACGATTGTAACTGTGACGTTACAATCGTAAGGAGTTACAGAATAGGCTCCTACATCATAATTTGTTGTAATTGTGCATAATGTAAGGACAACAAACGAGATACATCTGTATTAAAATATAAATGTATACATGTATATGTCCCATACAGCACAGAATTTGCCGCAAATCGCTGCAAAATCTCTGCGATATTACTGTAACGTGCAGTGTTGCAACAGTGTTTGTGCTGTAGGGAACTTATATGCATATATATTTGCGTGTACATGACAAAAAGAAAGATTCAAAAGAAATGTTTACGAGTACAAAATGTGGCACAGACTATATTTGTATCAGGTTTATCGACATTAATATTGTAAGTTAATATTAATAGAATATGGCAATGATTAAACAGATAGATGTATTTTCTTTCATTCAAACTTATCCTTATTACAGTGGAATCCACAGAGATAAAAGATGCGTTAAGCATTTTTTTTTTCTTTGAATTTCGCCTTGCGATTGAAGTGATAAGTCTCTCTTCTATGCAATGAATCACCGCTACGTACATATATAAATATATAAGAGTTTCAGTAAAAGAATTGCTCGCAACGCGTTTTGCGAGACTTGAGCAAAAATCACTGCAAAGAATGAGGATTCGTGTAAAGGACGGAAGACAGACGGAATGGAATAAAAAAAATCACAATCACAGTGTATAATATCATTGTATAATGTAAAGAAGAAATTATGAAAAAAAAAAATTGGATACCGTGTGTCGATATCATTGATATCAATTGCGAAATCAATTAGTGTTTGTCAGATCTAACGGACAGAGGTCAGTATGGTTTGATGTTGTTTTCTTTTCCCAGCTGTTTTTAGCGTCTTCCGGCGATGATAGGGGCGGAATAAGCCGAATAAGCCGAATAAGCCGCGGCCGGTAGAGCGGGATAAGCGGAATAAGCGGAATAAGCCAATGGCGCAGCCGCTACGTATGGAGCGGCAATGGCGTGATTGATGGCATGTGCATTGTAACTCGTGGCGTAGGTACCGACTGTCAGAGCTGCTGGCACCGCCGGCGCCGCTGGAATTGCCGGGATCGCTGCAGGAATCGCTCCGGCGCGGGCGGAACAGATCGAAGAGACGGCCACGAGGGCGCCAATGAGAACCTATGAATTTCAAACGTATGAATTTCCGGATAATCGAAAGAACAAACCCCCCTCTCTGCAATGTTACTTCGTTAACGTACAATATTGAACACGGATGTATGTAAGTAATTAATTGTGGAGAAACTTTTAAAATCATTTTTAGTATAAAACAAATTATGCTGAAAAATTATACATGATGTAAATAAGATACGACAAAAAAAATACATGTTTATATATATATATATATATACATATATGTTAAGTGTAATTGAAATGTATATTTAAACAAAATATTTTTTGTATGTTAATATATTAAGACAGATATATACATACTATATTCGGTGCTAAATTTAAATGAAGAATTAACAAACTTTCGAAAGATTAATTATTTAAAGATAATTTCTTTTAGTTATTATATTATCTATGCTATATAAGATATTATTTTATACAGGGGGAAGAGGTGGGAGGGCGGGAGGGGTCATTAAAGTGTGTGTTATTTGTGATATTTACGTATGCACGAAATGCGTATTGATAATTATTCATGAAAACTTACAAAGATTCTGGCCATCATTTTTAACTGCGGTGATTTTTAAGTGCGATGCGTAAATGATTGTCTCGCTGCGTTCACTGCGATGCCTATTCTCGATTACTTCGGTGTCTTTTATACATCGTGCCTTCCCTTACAAGAACAAAGACTCTCTCCCACCGTGATCACGATTTGTTGTACAATTCGCTCGCACACGAGGGCACATCCGGAGTAATATATGTACATATATCAGTACATGTATATACATCGCGTATACCGGTCTCTGTTTCTGGACTTGGTGCCGCATTTTCATTATTACTCAAGTCTGTTACCGATGTACGAATTTCGTCTGACAATGATAATTTCTTTCTCTCTTTTCTTACACGCAGTATACAAATAGTAATAGTATAATAATAATATTTGTATATATATTAATTATTATATACATACGATAAGCGCGGAAAATTGAGTAGTTAATTATTATTTTCTGCTCAGCTGGACGGAGCCGACATATATGAGAATAAAGTACGATAACGCAATTGAGTCTAATCTATCTGTCGTAATTGCAATGTTACCGCGGCAAATTGAACATTTTCCTTCTCTGTAAAATCCGAGCCTAATCTAAATCTCTCTTTCAACAAATTTACAAAATTGTATCGTGTTGACATAATTGACATTGGGTGAAAAAATGTGATATGTATCTCTTCTTTAAAATTTTAACTTTTGTTTTCTTTTTCAATTGTGGAAACAAGTATAACTATGTATATTTTATATATATATATATATATTTTCTATATATTTAAGATATTACATTTGTTTATTTGCTCTAATCTAAGATTAACACATTTTATTCCTTTAAAGAATAAATGTCGAATTTCTTTTCCGATCGATTTCGACTTCGCTTCTTTTGCGAAGAGATCAAAAACAAGGGGTAGAAAAAGCTTGGGATCAACGTTCGCGATTTGTACCCTCGGACGGATACATACGACCTATACATATTGTATTAAGTATTCAAACGATTGAATCAAACAGAATTCGTTTTTGTCATCATCGTGGCGAGCGAGATGAGAAAGATCAGAAGCAGGATGTATGTACATATATCTTTCAAGGTTACGACGAGATTGCGATGTGGTTGGACGAGATTCGAGTCGAAGAGTTTCCAACTTTTGCCACCTGCACTCGGTCAAGTAATCTGCAGACTGAACTCTGAAGTCTGAAGGCTTTCGCATCTTTTTCTCGCCCTGTTTACGCGTCACGTCGATCGTCGCCTGTAGAAGAAACTGGTAGGTACTCGAGGAAGGTATTCTAAGGGATTCGATCGCTTCTTCTGTATCTCAGCGATATTTCTTCGATTCGATTCACACGACGTGATTCGTTTGGTCGATTCGATCATTCAACGACAATCGCGCTTTCCGCTTTCGCGCATCTGTTTCAGCATCTTGGTCGTCCAATTGGCATTGGCGACCTTCCGAAAGTGCGTACAGGTACTTTCTTCGGGGTACCCGGTACGTGTTCCGATCTACTTGCTCAAGAAGCTACGACGTTACGTAAATCTCGTCGAGTATCTAGATTATCGATGCGTAACCCGCAGAATGTCATGCTAAAATCGCGACCTGATTCATGATGACTTTGGCTGCGAAACAGAAATATTTCGAGAATCATCGTAAGTATACCTACATATATGTATAATAATTCATCGATCGCGAATCAAAACTAATTTATTAAATCCAAATGTATTATATGATATGTATTAGATTAGAATGATATATAAGTAAATTATACACAATAATTGTATACGACATGTAGGAGAGGCTGAATAATGTTGATAAATTTTTTTCATTATGAATTCAAGATGAAAAAAATGGATTATTTTCTTAAAGTGAGGGCAATGGCGTGAATTGGTGAGGAAAACAAAAAATTATATTTTCAAAAATCTTTCACGACAGCCTTGATCGAATACGATGTGCTAAATCCCACAAATCGCTCAAGTCTCTGTGTCCGAGATATCTACCCAATCGGAATTATATAAACGCGGTTGACGCGGAATGGGTCGTTACGTAATCTTCCCTGCCTAGGTACGTGGTCGAATACAATGTGTGGCAAGGTTGCACGACAGGGAAAATGATTACATGGAGCGCATTCAGATTACGGCTTACGTCTGCTGGCTGACAATTAGCGAACAGCTCTATTCGTACGTCTTTGATCAAATTATGATTCACAATCGTGAAGCGTACACTACCGTAAATTCTTGAATTCGTATCTACATGTTCCGTTCCATCAGATCTTACAAATTTTATTTATTTATCATATATACATATAATATATATATATATATATATATATATATTTTACTCACAAGTCCTTGCAAGGCATGAAATGTTAAATGCTACGAATAATATACTCGTAGAAGGTTTCTCGATCGACACATGCATGCACAGAGAGAGATAAATGGCACGTGTGTTTCAACCCCCAATCAACACATCAAGATAGAATTGAAAGGAAAAATATGGAAAATCTTCATCGGATGTGTTGAGCTATCGAAACATGATCTCGAGATATGTGAAAGTATAATCTGAAGAAGATGGAAAAAATGGAATAATTAATTCGCTATATTTGGCATTTGAGCAACGCACGATTCGATGATCGACGTCATTAACGCAGGAATAACATTGTTATTTCGCTAGCCATTAACCGAAGGTCGTTGAATTGTTGCGAATCAGTGACGAAAACATTGGCGTTGAAAGGAAATCAGCCACTTGAGGATGCTCGTCGTGCTTCCTCGTGTAAGAGAAAGAGAGAGTTGCGCTAAGAGGCGCCGGTGCTAACTCCCTGCTCGTTTTTCGTTAACCAGGAGGTAGAGGTACCGTTGGCCTTGACGATGTGCCAGTTGGGGGTCGGACAAAAGTGCTATAAAGGCTTTTGCTTTTTCAATCGGAAAGCAGAACCTTTTCTTTCATCGCTTCGAGTAGCAGTCTCGATATTAAATCGTTCAACATGTTCAAGCTGGTGAGTTAATTTCTAAGGTTGTAATCCACTACTAAGCGTTTTAATTACGACTATTTAACTACGATTTTTCGATCGATCGAACAATCAAAGTTTATTAAATATTTTTAGAATCTTATTCAATCTCGATTGCGTCCAATTATTTATCGTTTTACTTTCTTTATAAAAAACAGGACAAGTGTGTGTGTGTGTGTGTGTGTATATATATATATATATGTGTGTGTGTGTGTGTGTGTGTGTGTATATATATATATATGTGTGTGTGTGTGTGTGTGTGTGTGTATATAATGTATATGTAAAACTTGGAATATTGAAAGCGCTGTTGTTTTCTAATTCTTTTTCAAATACTGTTTTTAATTGAACATCTTAGAAATATGTTTTATGTAATAAAATGTAATAAAAGAATATGTGCGTGTTTGTGTGTGTGTGTGTGCACAATTGATAACAATTCTCGTATTATTGACAAACGTAACACGTAAAGATTAATGCATTTTTCTCCATTTCTTATCTTTCTTTTATCACTACACTCATGTCGTGATGTACATATTGTACATCATTGTTAATGAATATATGCGTGATTCGATTGGTTCTTTCAGTGCATTCTCTCCGTTCTCCTAACTATCGTATACGCTGCACCTGCACCTGCGCCAGGAGCGGTTCTGGCGGCACCTGCGGCAATTGCGGCAGTTCCAGCGCCCATCGTGACAGCAAGTAGCAGCCAAGTGGTCGCTAGAAATTACAACACGCTCGCCGCAGCTCCACTGGCTCCGATCGCCTATGCCGCGTCACCTCTAGCAGCTTACAGCACTCATGCCGTTGCACCACTTGCACCTGCTGCGTACGCAGGATACGCTGCCTATTCCGCACCACTCCTCCTTTAATCCTGCTCCATCGTAAATTTCTATGGCAAAACGATTGATGATTCACTGTAATTATATTCGAATGTTATCTCATAATATGTCAAGTATTTGTAATATTTTCAATAAATCCAATTTTTCCATCTGAATTTTCGTCGTATTCGATCTTTACTCGTAATCTATATGTATTCTTACTTTTTAAATGTACATCTTTCTAGAAAGATTTTCCCTCTTCTCTTTATAATCAGATAAAGTTTTCTTCTCATCTCTATAAGAAACTTTATTAATTTACTTATTTTATTTAGTCATTGTAATATTTTAACAGTATTATTAGTTTTATAGCTGTCATGTGTGTGCATATAATAAAATATTAGATATTATATACAATAGTATACGTATAATAATATACTCGTATGTACAAGCATGTTGGAAATTTATAGAAAAGATTATTTGATATTTCCCTAGTAAATACACGCACGCACGCACATATCTTATCTACAGAAAAATTTTCCTCC